TGCCGCCACTATTATTGCTGTTAAAGTTGCGTCAGCATCACCGTCGGCTTCGTTGTCGGCATCGCTGCTGTCGTTTGCAGTTGGCGTCGTATTTTCTCTCTGTATGTGATTTTCTTTCTTTTTTTTCCGTTTCTGTTCCTTCTGCAATTGCAATTGTATGTAATTGTTGTTTGTCCCTGTTCTGTGTGTTTGTAGTTAGGTATGTGTAGATGTGCAAACTTGTTGTATTTGTGTGTGTGTGTGTGTGTGTGTGGGGGCATATCCGCGCATTTCCTCCGCAATGCCATTCCATTACTCTTGTTGGTGTTGTTGCTGTACACCACTGTGCCCGAGATGTGACTGTGACTGCTTCTGCTTGCTGATTGTGTATTTGGGCGGCGCGCCGTGCGTCTATTTACTATGTGAGTTTTGCATTCGTATTCGGAATGGCAATCGTATTCGTCGTATTCGCCGTGTGTTTCTGTGACTGTCTGCAATCATTTGTCCTCTCATACGCGCAGTGACACGCCGTCGGTACGGTAGTTAAATGCGGTAGTTGGTTAAATTTATTTTGCACTGACTTTATATACGCGGATGTTCGTTTTGTGTGGAGGAGTTTTTTTTGTTTTTTTTAGAAATTATAACTAATGCATAGTTTACGTTTATTAGCTAATTAAATTGGAGTGGTTAATCGGTTTAGAACTGTTTGTGAATTTTTAAACCTTTTTGTGTGTGTGTGTGGTGAGACATTTTAGTGACTGCATGAAGTGCAAAAAAGTCGGTTTGAAACAAAGTTAATTTAAAGAATTAAAACTGGTGTTTTGCAGTTTAAAAAGTACCTCAGTTATTATAGTAAAAAAAAAAAACATAACTTAAAGTTACTAAATAAGCAATTACCTACATAAAGCATTTAATTGCTAAGATAGTTACTTACATAAATAAAATATGCAAATTTCAACTAAATATGTACATATTTGATTTTTGAGCATAAAATCAAAAATTAAAATTTTAAAATGAATACCTACAATAACTAAATATTTAAATATTTTGCTGTTCTAATTTCAATAATTATGTAGTTGATAGCTGATTTCAGAAATATTTAAATTGAATTAATAGGTAGATACATGAATATGAAATCTGTTAAAAAATTTTATTAAAAAAAATATTCAAAACTAAAATTTATGAAAGTAAATATGAGTCGTACATAATAAACAGAATCAAATCGAACTTTAAGGCCGAAAGGACGTACGTGATTTTTTTTTTCTAAATTTTCTTTTTGATGCAGAAATGTTTCTAGAGCATAGAAAAAAATAAATAAATAAATAAAAAATAAAAATAAAAACCAAGTAATTTTTAAGCAAAAGCAAAACCGATTTCAATTCTCATATAAAAGTTTAGGAGTACCGTTAATTTTTTCATGATACAATGATTGGATCGAAACCAGATTAGTATGGGACCACCTCTGAGACACTACCTTTCTGTTGGTCCAAAGTTATGCGGTAACATACATAAAAAAAAAATAAATATAAAATATTCCGACGATCTGATAACCTCCTCCTGTTTTGGAAGTCGGTTAATAAAAAAGTGGAAACTAAAGCAATAGTTTACAAAGGACAACGTTTTCAAGTTGGAATGCAATAAAAATTGCCTATTTCTTTAGTTAAATACAAATTTAAAAAATATATACATACTTTAATTTAACACGGAAAGTGCTGTAGCATTTTGTCTTGATTTGACTTAAATCTTCTTTATTTCTTTGCAAAGAATCTATGCTTTTCAAGCGTTCGGCACTTTTCAGGTTTCCAGCGCTATATACAACTATAATATTTACATATATGTCGTGGGCTCGAAAGCTAAAACATCTGATAAATTAAATGTTTTTTTTTTTTTGTTGTATAAAAGTGCCAGAGTTAATCTGTGTTAAAAATATGCAGAACAACGAAATTTTCCACAAATGTTTCATTCGAACTTACGGTTCGGCCAAACCACTTTTCTATAAAAGTTTAATATCCGCTTCGATCAATTTTTAATCTTTAAAATTTTGGGCACTTTTTTATTTTGATAAATATGTTAATGCCATGTTTATTTACTTGCTAGAAGACTTTCTTCTCATCAATCTCAACTGATTATTGTAAATTATTATTTTTTTTATCAAATATGATTTTTTTACTGCGTATGTAAATTATATATTTTATTCGTAGTTTTTGGATTGTTCTGAATAAAAACAAGACAAATTTACATCGTGCTTTTAAATTCCCGCACCGTTGAACCGAACCGAAACTCCGGTCCAAACAAAAAAAGAAAAAAAAAACGTTTTGACGAACCAATCCAAAGGTGTGAGACCGGTTTAAACCGTTGAACCGAACCGACAAAGTTTTTAATCCAAGTCACGTCCCTGATATCTATATACTCTCCGAGAAAAATTGTGCTCTAAAAACAAGTCCGGCTGAGAACACATTTTTAATTTTTCGTTCTTAAAATTTTTAAATCTTTTCATTCTGAAACGTTCTAAAAATGTCAATAATCATGAAAGTTTATGTTAACGGTCTCCCAAAAAATTCTCAAAACAAATCTTTTTTCTTGACTCCGTATAAAAATTTTCGCAGTTACCGCACTTCTGTGACATAAATTCTTGATTTCGGTTTCATTTAAGTGTAAAATTGTATTTGTTTTTTTTTTTTTGAGTGCACATATCTACTGTAGATTTCGAATTTATGAGGTTTTGAGGTACAGTTTATATTTGTGCCAAGTCTGTATTTGAGGAAATCTGTGTAAAAATGCCATAATGCATTAAATAGACAATCAGTTGGGTTCCAAAGTAAGCATTGGTTGAGCATTTCAGAGGCGGTTACAAATCGGGACAGCTTTCATTTTGTATAGTCACCATAAATAATACTGTGCGTCAAAAGGTTAAAGTTTGAAAAATTTATTTTATGTATAAATTATGGCAACCCTGTTTGAAAGTATAATAAAGAAATTAATGTTGTACTTCTGTTCGCAATTGCAGACTATTTTCGTCCAAAAAGGCGCCCTGCCGGGGAATGTTTTTGTTGAACATTTCAACCTTAGCCCCAAAAATGTGTGCCAGTAAATATTACTATTGGGGTATTCACAACGGTGTCGTAACTGTCGTATTGTTGTATTTCGTACACTTTAAACGCCTAAAAAATATGTTAAGGGGGTTCGCAAAGTACCATCAAAGTCATATTATGAATTTTCGCAGTCTTAAAAAATAGTTGGCTGTGGTTTCAAATTCTCTAAACATTGATTTAAGCTTTTAAAGTTTACGACATACAACAATACGACACTTACGACACCGTTGTGAATCCCTCATATGTATATACCATTTAAGACAAGATTTTTTAATTATTTTCAGTTCACCATTTTTATACAATAAGAACAATAAGTTTTTCATACCAATGCCAGGAAACGATCAATTCAGGGAAAAATTCAAAATCTTATCGGATTGACTTGAAACTTGTCAGACGGTGGTTTTTGGGGTCGTTGATTACGAATTTGGCATTGGCGGATCCAATATGGCGGAAGATATTTTTAAAATCGATCGCATTAGCTTCAACTCTGTTAGTAAGGAATTTTTCGTTGTCGCTGATTGCGAAGAAAAACTCAGAAATAAAAAAATTAAATAGTGGATGCAATTTGGTCTACATTTTTATTATCGTTGAACTGACTTGAAACTTGTTTCATGATTGTTTTAGGGGTCACAAAAAGGTCGAAAATAACAGTTACTTTTTTCGATGTTATAACAGTCCGGGGCAAAATATTATCGTAGAAGAAAGTTATCAATGTTCCTTTGATGCCAGGACCTCCTGGATAAGAATACTAGATTATTTTTATCTTTCGAAATTTTAGGGAAAGAAAATAATAATTGATTTTTTAGTCCAATAATAACAGAAAAAAAATCCTTTCCTAATAATAAACCAACTGCTTATCCAAATTAAGCAAATTTGATACCAAATGCAAGAGGACTGAAATAGCTTTCAAACGGAAATACCTAAATGTAGGTTACCACCTATTTATATATATTTTTTTATAACGGGTGATTTTTTTGAGGTTAGGATTTTCATGCATTAGTATTTGACAGATCACGTGGGATTTCAGACATGGTGTCAAAGAGAAAGATGCTCAGTATGCTTTGACATTTCATCATGAATAGACTTACTAACGAGCAACGCTTGCAAATCATTGAATTTTATTACCAAAATCAGTGTTCGGTTCGCTTTACGTCCGATTTATGGTCTACATAATCGACCAAGTGAGCAAACAATTAATGCGATTGTGACCAAGTTTCGCACTCAGTTTACTTTATTGGACATTAAACCAACCACACGAATGCGTACAGTGCGTACAGAAGAGAATATTGCGTCTGTTTCTGAGAGTGTTGCTGAAGACCGTGAAATGTCGATTCGTCGCCGTTCGCAGCAATTGGGTTTGCGAAACACATTTCGAACCGAACACTGATTTTGGTAATAAAATTCAATGATTTGCAAGCGTTGCTCGTTAGTAAGTCTATTCATGATGAAATGTCAAAGCATACTGAGCATCTTTCTCTTTGACACCATGTCTGAAATCCCACGTGATCTGTCAAATACTAATGCATGAAAATCCTAACCTCAAAAAAATCACCCGTTAATTAAAAGAAATTCGTATACATGACCCAAGGTTTGTTCTATGGTAATTAAATAACATTTTTTATTGAAATATTTTGCAATAGGTGGCATTATTCATTTAAATATTTCGATTTGAAAACTATTGCGGTTTGCTTATTATTAAGAAAGGACTTTTATTTCGGCCTGAAAAAATTGTTGACCAAGTTTAACTGTTATTACTGGACTAAAAAAACTAAAAGTCCGGGTTAACCGAACGTTACAAAATATATGATCCCCCTTCGTCGGAATAAAGCAACACTAAAATAGTCAAAAGAATTTTATTTCAACATCGACTTTGTTAGTCCAATATCATTATGTTAATAGTGAAAAAATTATTGAAATTATATTTTACAGCATCGGTTATGAATAATCATTCGAAACATTAAAATTACACAAATCTAAAAAATAAACTGAAAACTAATCTCCAAAGCGAATACAAAGTGATTGAATTAAAAAGTGTAAAGAAAAAGTCAATGCGAAATCATCAAAAACACAAATAAAACAAAAACTACTAAAAGTGTTGTTAACTCGTGCGAAGTAAAAAGCATTTAAACTAAAGAAATAACACAAAATACCGCTCGCAAAAACAAAAAAAAAAAAACAAAACGCAAACGGCCATTGTCGCATGTGACAAAAAAGCATGGATTCTACCGTTACGGATGCTCATTCGTTAACAAGTGAACACAGTGTTGCCTCCTCCACGTCGTCATCGTTGGCGCTGCATGGCGCCGTGTTAGCGGCTGTTAAGCGCGAACGTTCACCAACACCGGTTTCGGTTTCAGTTTCGGATTCGATCGGCAAGGCAATGAACACCATTTCAGTGGCAACTAATCTTACAAACAATAATCACAATAATAATATTAATATCCACAACAACAACCACAACAACAATAATAATAGTCCACGTCACAAACTGAGTCCCAGTTATCATCACAGCAATAACAATAACAACAGCATACTGTTGGCGCACAGCATGAATCCCACTGCGCTGCTGATGCATCATCAGCAACAGCAGCAGCAGCACCAGCAACAACAACAACAACAACAACAGCAACAACATCAGCACCAACAACAACAACAGAATGGCGCACGTGATGGCAATGGCAGCCGCGGTGGCGGCAGCGGTCCCGGCGGCAGTGGCGCTGGCTCGCTAAGCGGCAGCATCGGTGATGATCGCCCCTCCAACGGCCGCCTTTCGCATACCGGTCGCGGCTCCAGCTGCTCGCCAGCCAGTTCCCCCACACGCCATCCCAGCGCCGTCAGTCCGGTGACATCGCTCAATCATACGATGATGCAACAAATGCAACAACAACATCACCAGCTAAGTCCGCCACCACATGTGACGGGTGTACCTACGCCCAATGGACTGCCCGCTGGCTTGCCGCCGCGCATGCCGCACGGTCTGCCGCCTCACTCGCTCGGCTTGCTCAACTCGCTACAAATGATGCATCACGCCTCGCCGCTGGAGCTGATGGCCGCTGCCCATCATCATGTGCCGCCGCGCTCCTATAACAGTCCGCCACCCATTTCCACCTCGGATCCCAGCGCCAACGAATGCAAGCTGGTGGAGTATCGTGGCCAGAAGGTGGCCGCATTCATTATTAGTGGTGACACGATGCTATGTCTGCCACAAGCTTTTGAGCTCTTCCTTAAGCACCTGGTGGGCGGTCTGCATACCGTCTATACGAAGCTGAAGCGACTCGATATTGTACCGCTGGTGTGCAATGTGGAGCAGGTGCGAATACTGCGAGGCCTCGGTGCCATACAGCCGGGCGTCAATCGGTGTAAGCTGCTCGCCTGCAAGGACTTTGACGTGCTGTACAGGGATTGCACGACTGCCAGGTAGGTGGATGTACCAAGTAATGCATAGGCGTTGTGTAAAGTGGGAACATTGTGGAATGAATGTGGGGTTGTGGTTCCAAAACGTTGACTGGGGTCTATTGAATATGTTTGATAGAGGATGTTAAGACTAGGGAATGGAGCTTGAATTTATTTTTCTTCAAATTGCTCTGGAATTACCAGATATAAATATAGCGTTGCAAGGTCAGAGCAATAAAATATGGTTGCATAAATTGAGTTATTGGGTTTGTACATTTTTGCGAGACTTCTAAATTCTAAACTTTATGGGCTGGTTTCTCCAACTCAACTTAACTTAGTCAAGCCAAATTTCTTGACTTAGTCAAGAATAAGCTGTGTAAAACGTAGGCTAACTTTTGACTTAAGTCCGAAAAGTGGCTAAACTAAGTTAAGTTGAGTTGGAGAAATCAGCCCTATGTTTCAAGATAAGATTAAATTAAATTATTATAAACTGATATCAGTATGTTCTTACCGGCCCTCTAATTGTCAGAGCCACATGACCTATAAAAACACAAACCCCCATTTTTTTTAATAGGTTGATTGCGCGTTCAACTTTTGTTGAATTTGACTTGCTTTGAAAAACTTATATATACTTTGATTTTCCGCTCTTTTCGGACACATATGCATAAATCCACGATTCGGTAAAGTCTGTGCTGTTCACTAAGTGTTTGAGAGTATCCATCGTATTTCTCCAGAATATTTTAGAACCTTCGATTTGAGTGTTCGCCAAATTATGCGGAAACGAGCGCGAACAAATATTTCGTATTCCCAATGGGTTTATACTTAAGATTTCGATATCATTTAATATTATTGTTATCAGGGATAAAGACCCGTGACCTTAAGATCTATTGTGTCTCGGTCTTATATGTAGTGATACGAGTTTATTATATGTCTATCAACTCAATGTCCGAGAGAATTTCTAGTATTTGGACTAAATATCTACACCTTTTCCAATAGTATTTCAGAAAAACACAAATGTATTTCAGAAAAAGCCAAATGAAATTCAGAAAAGGGCAAATGTATTTCCGAAAAGGCCAAATGTATTTCAGAAAAAGCCAAATGAAATTCAGAAAAACACAATTGTATTTCAGAAAAGTTCAAATTATTTTCAGAAAAACGCAAATATGTTTCAGAAAAGGGCAGATGTATTTCAGAAAAGCACAAATGTATTTCAGAAAATATGCGTCAAGTAGTTTCTTTACCCATTCTGCAAATTCAGCATTGCTTAAGCGAATATATTACCAGTTTAGTCAGAGGTAGTTCAGACTGAGTTATTTCTGGATATGCTCGTGCATCCCACATATTTTTCTTTTTAAAACAACAAAAACTAATAAATTAGAGCATATTAAATTAATCAAAATTAAGATAAAGCAAAAGGAAATAAAAATATTTTGAAAAATTTAATGAAATTGGAAATTTTTTTATTTTTAAAATAATAAAATATAAAAATTAAATTAGAAAAAGCAAAACTGGAAGAAAATAGTACCTACTTAAAAATAAAATAAAACTATATAAAACAAAAAAATTTTATTTCGCAAACAAAAATTAAAAGAAAATTAATTTAAAAAGCCAAAAATCTTAATTCAAATAAACTAACAAAAATTAAATGAAATAAAACAAATGTATTTTTCTTTTATAAAACAATAAAATATACAAATTAAAAGAAAATTAAATAAACAAAAGGAAAACAAGTTAAATTAAAAAAGAAGAAACAAATAAAATGAGTTTCTAAAATTTAAGTAAACTTGAAAAATATACTTGTTTTTAAATAATAAAATCTATTAATTCAAAGAAAATGTACCTAAAAAAAAATACTAAGAAACAAAAGTTTCTAAAAATTAAATTAAATTTAAAAAATATTCTTCTTTTTAAAACAAAACCCTAAAAATTAAAATATGTATTTTGTTACCAAAAAATACATAAAGTAAGTTTCTAAAAATTAAATAAACGTAAAAAAATATATTTGTTTTTAATCAATAAAATCTTAAAATTCAAAGAAAGTTTAACTAAAAAATAAATAAAAAATTATTTGGAAACGGAAGTTCCTAGAAATTAAAAAATATTATTCGTTTTACAACAAAAATTTGTAAATTAAAATTTCTTTTTTTTTACGAAAAAATACATAAAATAAAGTTCTAAAAATTAAATGCAATTAAAAAACATATATTTTTATTTTTAAAACGATAAAATCTACATATAAGAGATAATTAAATTAAAAAATTGATGTAAAAAAAGTTCGCTGCCCGAGAACTCGAACTCGGATCTCTCGAATGGCACGCCTGTGCTTTGCTCACTCGGCCATTGCGACTGTTGGAGCAGCGCGAGCTAAATGATATGCAAGTGCTTTCTCTCAGAATAACTTTTCACCACGAGTGGTGAATGAGAGAGCTTTTTTCTATGACTTTTGTGCCAGAAAAACAAAAGTCTTTCAAAAGATTTTGCAAGTAGGGTTCGAAATTTCAGACTTTGGTATCGATACTGAGTACTCATTCTGGCATCGAGCTCATGGTATCGATACTCTAAAAGTATCAGGGAAAAAGTATCGATACTACTCAGTATCGGACTCATTAAAATACGTTTTTTGGGATACTAAAATTATTTTATTCTTCAATCGTATATCTAGTTATTTCCTGAAATTAAAACAATAGAAATTTAAAATATTTAATTTTTATTTCATTGCAGAACTTACTTTCAGGTTAGAAGTAATTTTAACGTCAAATGTACATACATATATATATATATATGTATATATATACTTTCACGAATTTCAAGTTTTATTAAGAAATGTTGTAAAGTTTTAGTATGCATTTTTGTAGCCTATTCAATTTTAGTATAATAATGTGCACACTGAGAAAAGAGTTTAGTTACGTCAACTAAATATGTTTTTATCAACACATGATTTGGTTATAGTTACATTATTTGTTTATAGTTACCAAATCATGTGTTGAGAGGAATATATTTGGCTGGCTTTTTTCTGAGTGCAAGTTTGAATTAAAAGTCAACGGTAGTAGGCTACACGTAAATTTGAATAGGTTACAGAACTGCATTCCCAAAAAGTTTCTAAAAAATCTGCATTTTCGTGAACTTTGCGTAAAGTTTTATGGCCTTATTCATAAAAAATAAAAAAGGTTTATAAACTGAAAAATGTATGAAAATGTCATTTTATTAAGCTCTTTAAACCTACTTTGTTTTTTATGAATAAGGCCACTAAACCTTCACTTATTTGGTTTATGTTATGCAACAGAATACACGCAATTGCAGTTTATTTTAAGTGATAGACAAAATAGTAATCCATATAAGCAAAGAAAGCAATGGAAGAAAAAGTTTAAAAAGTGAGCGTTTTAAAAAGTATTCGATACTACGAGTACTTTGCAAAGTATCGAGTAAAATCACCAAATAAGGTATCGAGTATTAAAGTACTCATTTTTATACCCTCAGTATCGATACTTACTCAGTATCGATAGTATCGTTCGAACCCTATTTGCCACATTTCTTTCATTTGTCTTACGAAAGACTTTTTACTATTTTAGCCAGAATTGCCCTGTAAGAATTTTATTCTTGGCTAACTGTATCTTCGCAAACCTAGCCATAATTTTCTAAATTAATGTAAATTTAAGATTTAAGAAAAATTCGAATAACATAATAGGTAAAAGGGATTTTATCACTAACACAAAAACGCAGTACTTTGTTAACGCACATTAATATCTAATTACTCGTAACTTTGGTCTTCATACTAATATTTTTTTTTTTTAAGCGCGATCTAATTAATATTTTTATAACAGTTATTAAAGTTTATGCTTTATATCTCGCGCTCTATTAGTTTGGGCCAGAAAAACAGGCATTTAGACCACCGTGCACCGTCAAAACAAAAAGTATTCGCGTTCAGCATTAAAAAAGAAATAAGTGCACCAATACTAACTACCTAGAAAAGTGGGTATTGGAAAGTTTTCAACCGGAAAAACAGTTGACAGCGCACGCATGCCAGTTACAAGCGCAAGCAGCAATAACGAAAATAACAATAATAATAGCAAAATATCGGTCGGTAACTAAAATAACAATTTGAAATGCATAGAGAATATTTGGTGAGGCGCAAACGAAGCTGTATGTATGTATATTTATGCAACAACAATAACTAGTACCCATGCTTGTAAATAGTTACTTACAACATTTTTTTGCACTAATCAGTGCGCACACAAAAACTCCAAATCGAGTGAATATGCACTCGTGCTTACATATATATAGTATTTATATGTACATCCATACATATATACATACTCGTACGTCGATGCAGTAAATTCGTTTGCATTGCGTATTTCCGTTTAATGTCATCGCGAACGAATGTCCAACCAAGCGATCGAAAAACTTTTGTGATTACCTCGCAAATTGTTGTAAATGTTATTGTTGGCTGACAAGCCTGCCTCGCTTATTCTAACACACACAGCCGTGCGCACTTTCGATATGCACATATGTATGTACGAGTGTGTGTGTGTGCGCGTTTGTATAAATCTAGCCTAAATTAGGGCGTGTGTGCTAGGGACGCGCTTGGCAATGGCGGCGGCGGCGGATGTTTGCTCGTAAGCAATTGCATACACTTTGACATTTCCAGACTTGCAATTGGTTTGCATTTGCCATTTAACTTACACATTCTTCTGTATAAGTGTGCATGTGTGTGTGTGTGTGTGTGTGTGTTTATTCATATCAAAACAGAGCGAAAAAAGCAGAACTACAGAATTGTAATTGAAGTTGTTCGACAGCGTAGCTCAGTGCTGTAGCTCTCCACTCATTCTATTTACATTGATTTGCTAGTCGCACGCAATTGTGTGAGCGCTACGCCCCGTTTTTATTTTGCAGTGACTTCTAAGTGACTGCTAAGGTTTTTCGCATGCGTATGCGTGTGTGTGTGTGTGTGTGTGTGTGTGTGTGGGTCTAGTTTTTATTGATACTCATTTTAATTTCTAACAATAGCGGAAACAGGAAATGAGAAA